GAACCCAAGGGTGCTTAACCACTGGAGCCATATCTCCAGCCCTTTTTATTTAGAGTCAGTGTCTCAGTAAGTTGTGCCTCACTAAGTTTCTGAGGCTGGCTTTGAACTCGTGATCCTCTTGCCTCAGTTTCCCCAGTGACTGAATCTATCCTTTTCTTTAGTTTTCCATGGAGATCCCTTGGCAGAGGTTGCCAAAAATTGGGTTGGCTTTAGATTCTCTATTTTTTTTCTTTTCTGGGTGCAGTTATTTAATCTGCCAGTTTAGTTTGATGAGATAGTATCAGTAAGAATTACTCTGCTGCGGTGACAGATATCCTATGGTCTAATTGGATATACTGTCAGATTTTAAAAGAGAAGATTAATCCTGTTCCCAGGTCATAACTAATGATGCTAAAACCTACTGCCAAGTTCTTTGTGGCCAGTAACATACTCCCTCCATTGGGCCAAAGGGGCTTGAAGGCAGGGCAGAGTCCAGGTCCTCTTTTCCCATTTTCTACAGTCCACACAGATTTCATGGATTTCTTTTTCCTATTCAGGATTGCTGGCTCTGATCCACAGAAAGATAATCTGTGGCTGCCTGAAGCCAGGCTGAGTGCTTTCCAGCACTGAGTTGAAAGTATTGAAATAAATTTTTAACCCTTTTTTCTGGTGTCTGGCTATCCTTGCACTTCAGAGGTAGTGCCTTTTTGCACTCTCAACTTGGTTTCTGGCTGTTCAAACTACTTATAATGCAAATGCATAAATGCCTGTACATTTAGAATTTCTTCCATTTACTTTATATATGACAGACCAACTCCAAATGCAAGATTGTATAGTAATCCAGAAAACCATTCAAATGTTAGATTATGTTACAGTAAAACATCTTTCTCTTAGGCTTATACCTATAGGTAACCCATTTAACCAAGATATTTCCAAGAGACTATCTATAGGATGAATTCAGCATTGCCCATGTCTTAAAGGGCCAGATATACACACAAAAAAAGAAACAGACAGCTAGAGAGGATCCCTAAAACTGTGGCCAAGATGGGAAACTTTAAGACAGATCTGCATATACAAAAAATTATACTTACTTTAAAACTCTGACAGACCAACTCTAACAGCATGACTTATAATGCAGAAAGTCATTTAAAAGCCAGTTTGTTATTGTAAAACCTCATCTTTTTCTTAGGCTTATACCTGTATGTGGCTCTCTCTCTCTCAGCCACAATCTTTCCCAAGAGACAACCTATAAGATCAATATAGCATTGCCCATGTCTTAAAAGAGGCAGTAAACAGATACAAACAAAAACAAACAGACAATCTGGGCATCCCCAAACCCAAGGCCAACAAACAGATGAGAAACTAGAAGGATTAGAAGAGAGTAAACATCCCTAGGTTCTTGAGCCCTGCTTAACCATGACTCCTATACTAGCAGCATAGATGTCCCCATCTTTATGGAACCAGAAGTTCCCATAAAGAACAACCAGATATGTAAAATTAAGGGTCTCAGTGTGCATACACATTTACCAGATGACAAAGTGTCATGGCCTACTGAGTTCAGTTTCCTTTTTCTCAAAGGGGACTAAGCTGAAGCAACCTATCCTGTTTAAAGACAGGAGTTTCCTGAAGCAAAAGGAGCCTCAGTGGGACAGCTCCTTAATCCCTACCTTTACTTATAGAAATAGCTTTTCCTGATCCACCTCAGGGAAACTCTCCCATCTCCATCTGCTAACTCTCAAGCAGTTGGCACTCAACAAATTTGCCAGCCACTCTGCATCCTCTGCATGAAAGTGGGTTGCTTGGAGAGTCAGGTCTACCAAGAAAGCTAGAGTGAGGTCTGAATTTGGGACAAATCTGGGTCACCAAATTTCTTACCAAAAGCTCTGTCCTTGTCCCCAGTGCAGATCCCCAATTAAATTTGCTATTTTTGTATAAAGTCTGAAAGAGATTATCACTACAGACAACTTTAGTTTGGAGAACACCAGCTTGGTAAAGTGCTCTCTAAAGTTCTCAGACATCTATATATCTCATTCACATATATTTTTGGTGTCAAATATATTGTAATAACTTAAAATAACAGTTGTTTATATAACTAGCTACAAAGTTGCCATTTAAAAGAGTTTACAACAGTTACAAATCATAATTCCTTTAAGAATTTCTTTCCTTCAGTAATAAAACCTAACAGACAAAACAAATTGGCATAAAAACAAATACACCTGTAATCCCAGCAGCTTGGGAGACTGAGTCTGGAGGATTGTGAGTTCAAAGCCAGCTTCAGCAATGACAAGGCACGAAACAACTCAGTGAGACCCTGTCTCTAAATAAAATACAAAATAGGGCTGGGGATGTGGCTCAGTGGTTGAGTGTCCCTGAGTTAAATCCCTGGTATACTCACTCCCAATATTTTTAGTTGTATTTTATTTTATTTATTTTTTTATATTGTGCTAAGGATTGACTCCAGTGCCTCATATGTGTTAGGCAGGTGCTCTACCACTAAGCTACAACCATAGCCCCAATGATTTATATTGATATAAAAGGGCACATCAATGTTTTAGACTGTTTCTTATTAGTGGATTAAAATTTGACCTTAGGAACTCCAGTAATAATTTTTATTAACTGTACTAATTATAGCCAACTTAATCACTTACACAACCTTTTTGAGATTTACCTTCCATAAAACTTCTGAGATTTACTTAGACATTCTACAACTTTTTATAGCCTTAGTTTTGATTCTTCATTTTGGATATTGGAATCAGAATATATTTTTACCATACAGAATACTTTCACATCCAGAAACATTTTTCTTTTCATTTTTTCTATCTTATATTTCTATATACTCTCTGTATGTAGAATATAACTTTCTTATATTCAAGGTTTCTTTTACTCTTTCTTAAATACATATTTTGTAACAATCTTTATGAAATTTCTGAATTGAGGCAAATTATTTTTTTAATAAGATGAAATACTTTACACTTTTTTAACAATACTTTAATTGAAGCACAGCTGAAATTTTTGAACACTTTGCATAAATAATCACACCTGTTGGAATTGTAACTCAATAACCTTGCTTTTTAATATTTATTTTTTAGTTGTATTTGGACACAATGTCTTTATTTTATTTATCTTTATGAGGTGCTGAGGATCAAACCCAGGGCCTTGCACATGCTAGGTGAGTGCTCTACCACTGAGCCACAACCCCAGCCCCTATGAGTTGTTTTTTTAAGACCTAGAAGCAAAGCAATCACAGGAACAAAGCTTCTCAACTGTTTCTTTTTTTCATTTACCCATTTACAAAACCATATTTAGCATACCCATATATATGTTACCTTATAGGTCTCAAGAGGCCAAAAGTACATGAATTTATATTTAGTAGTTGATATTTCGGTATTTTAATTTGCAAATTAATCAGATGTCTACTCTAATATTTATGAAGGTTAATCCCATTTATGTTAAATATAATTTACTAATTTATAACTGTTAACTTTAGGTTATTCATGAAAACCAAGCCTACTCAAAATTTAAGTAATCTTTTTCTCTGCCAAACAAAATCCTAAAACCAGTGGGACATTATAATTTAAACATTTTATAGCTCTAAAGACTTGCACAAATTGGTACTCATCAGTGTGAACTTTCTTCATAGAAGAAAGCAGCATAGATGTCCCCATCTTTATGGAACCAGGCAATCTGTAGAGTATATAGGAAAGCTGACTCAATTCATGTTTCAGAATTTTGCACAAAGAGAATGGATCCCCATTAATACCTATCTCTTAAGGTGGTATTTTTTTTTCTTCCAGGGGCAAGTTATTTCCTCCTAAGAAAAACCTCAGTTAAGGTAACATTGACCAACTTTCTCAGGGTCCCTTTGGCCCAAATAGCATTACTGTCTTTTAGTATACCTCTAGCAGAGCAGGCTTTGTTTATTTTTCCTGTGAGGCACTTACAAATGAAGTCATTACTTTTGGGGTGAGAATGTTATTAGCACATTTAATTTCCACAACAAATTTAAAAAAAAATCTGTGCCTTAATCTATTTTTTTCCTCCCAGATTTAATTCAAGATATTGGAGGACAGGATATTGTTGAGCTTGCCTCACCTCCCTTATCATTATCACAATGCCATCAATTTCAAGCAAGTTTCCCACTGTCAATTTGTCAATTTTACCTAAAATCTTCTTTTTTTTTTTTCGGGAGGGGAGATGGGGCTTTTTTACAGTAGGTGTATTGATATTCAATTGAGTAGGCTCTTTTCATCCTTTTTATTAGGCTTCCTTGAAGATCTCTTAGATGGGTTTTCTTATTTAATTCTGTTGTTCAGAGCACCCAATTAAATTGAAGGTCATGTTGACTATATAGATACCTTCATACATGGGGACTGCGGCAGTAACAGGCAGGGCTCTACTCAGAGGTCCCCTTGCCAAATGAGGCATCCTGTCAGATCTCAAAAGGGGAGACCATTTTGACCCCAGGTTCTAATCCAACGGTGCTGGAATCCATTGTCATGTCCTTTGTTATTGGCAGCCTTTATCCCCTAAATAAGATAGGATAGTTAATCATCAGGAAATTAAGATAACGGGCCCCAATTAATTTTAATTCAAATATAAAATCTCCTCTGTCCCCTTAAATATTCCAGTTAACTTCATTGTTCCAGAAAAGCATGAAAATAGAAGCAGAGGTAGACCCAAATGTAGGTTACAGAAAAAATTCAGACTTAAGGGCTAAAAAGGCATAGTCATTTAGAAACTTATAGAATAATCCAAATAGCTTTGGTACCCTCCCAGTTCCTGTATAATATGAATTCCAAACATTAGCTCAAACACTCTTTTAGTTATCTGTTCAGCATGGACTCCAATCAATGCCCTTACCTAGCAGTCACATAAGTCCACAGGCTGGTACATCCCCTTTCCTGACAGGAACTCCATCTTTTCTCCTATCATTCAAACAAATCTTATTACTTTCACTTGGTGCTCTGCCACCATGTGTGAATTTTATTCTTTGAACCCATGAGACAAGAATCTAGAAAGAAATCAGCAATGCCTGAAACCTACACAGACTTCACCCACTAGCAGAAATAGAAAACTGAGCCCTGTTCTCGTTCTCAAACTCTGGTTTTATTCCCATGGGATAAAAGAAACTGAATGGCAGGGTAAATATGAGATCCTCTTTGCTAATTTCCTATAGCCTAGGCAGTTTTCCTGGGATTTCTCCCCCCAGCCCAGGGCTGGTGTCTCTGACACGTAGCAAGGTGATCTGTGGCTGTCTGGGTCCAGGCTGACAAACCATGCTGGAACTGTCAGCACTGGGTTGAAAGGACTTATTTCTTACAGTGTTCTTTTATCCTTACACACGAGATGAAGTGCATTGTTTTTGCACCCTCAACTTGATTTCTGATTTTTTCAAACTCTTTATCATGCAAATGCTTAAATGCCTGTACATACAGAATTTCTTCCATTTACTTGCCTCTGAAAGATCAACTCCAACTAGAATATTGTGTAACCATCCAGAAAATCATTCAAAGGCCAGATTGTGTTATAGTAAAACATCTTTCTCTTGGACAGGGTTATATCTATAGGTGGCCCATTCAGCAGAGATCTTTCTTCCCAACAGACCACTTATAGGATAAATGCAGTATTGCCTGTGTCTTAAAAGGATCAGTAACAGATACAAACAAACAAACAAACAACAACAGCAAAACCAATGGCAGACAACTAGAAAGGATCTCCAAAACCATGGATGATAAATGGGAACCTTTAAAACAGATGGACCAGATAGGGGGGAAATACCCAAAGATCCCCATTCCTATTTAACCAAGATTTCTATACCAGCAGCTCCACAGATGACCTCACAAAGAACCAGATGTTCCTACAAATGGGAACCAGATGTATAGATTTCAGGGTCTGTGGGTGCCCATTGTGGGAGCTTACCAGATGGCCAAGGTGATATAACTTCACTATGTTTGGTTTCTTTTTTTTCTATTTAGACTAAGTTGGAGGAATCTGTATCATTCAGGGAGAGAAGGCAGAAATTACCAAAGCAAAAGGGGCATTGGCAGCTGATGGAACAGTTCCTCAGTCCTTCTCTTTCCTCATAGACATAACTCCTCTAGTTTGACCTGAAGTAAATATATCTGTAACTTAACTCTCCAGTAGTTGGCTCTCAACAATTTTGACAGCTTTCCTCCTCAGCATGTAAGTGGGGTTGCTTGGAGTGCCAGGTCTGCTCCAGAAAGCCAGAGTGGGGGTTGCTCTAGGGTCCACAGTGGGATACCAATGTGTTACCTTATTCCCAAGGCTGATTCAAAAATAAGGACATTGTTTTGAGAAAAAGTTAAAAGAAGCTTTATTGCTTTGCAAGAAGAGGAGAAACACAGGAGATTTTTGTCCCAAAGGCTGTGATTCTATCTATCAGGGACCACAGAGCGTTTTCAAAAAGATGATTCATTCCAGTTGTTCCCTGGGGAGGGGAATGTGATTCACTTGTTAATTTGGAAGACAGCCATTTCTAAGATCTTCTGGCTCCATCCTTGAAGTCTGTGAAGGCTGCCAATCATAAAGAATATGACAATAGATTCCAGCACTGTTGGATTAGAACCTGGGGTCAAAATGGTCTCCCCTTTTAAGATCTGACAGGATGCCTCATTTGGCAAGGGGACCTATGAGTGGAGCCCTGCCTGGTTCTTTGTGAGGGCATCTGTGGAGCTGCTGGTATAGAAATCATGGTTAAATGGGTATAATAGGGATCTTTGGGTATTTCCTCCCTATCTGGTCCGTCTGTTTTAAAGGTTCCCATTTATCATCCATCGTTTTGGGGATCCTTTCTGGTTGTCTGCCATTGGTTTTGTTGTTGTTTTGCTGTACAGGCTTGGTTCCTGTATCTAAGCCTAGAATAGGGATAAGGTAATCTTTTCCTTCCATGGTAAGGAAGAGGGAGAGAGAGAATAGGAAAAGAAAATAGGTTCACATTAAAATGGACAGAGCAGCATGGGCTATATTCACAGCATGAGGTGTACCACTATTATGTTCTAATCATTAATGCTTTGTAGCAAACAACTTTTTATCCTTTTCAAGGTAATAATCTCCTTGCGAATGATTATATTCAAAAAAATCAAATGTCTACTTGTTAGATATATTATTAATGGGATTTTTTTGTATTAAACTTGGAAGTGGTTACTGAGGCTGTTCCTTCCTTCCTCCCGTTTTTCCTTTCTTCCTTCTTTTTCCCATGAGAAAAAAAAATCTTCCTTTTAATTTTATTTTCTTTTTTAGAAATAATTAAGAGTAGAGTGGATTTTAACATACATATGGGATATAACTTTTTTCTAATTAGGATCCCATTCTTGTGGTCATACATGATATGGAATTACACTGGTCGTGTATTAATGTATGAACATAGGAAAATTATATCCAATTCATTGTACTATCTTTCCTAATCCCATTCTCCCTCCATTCCCTTCATTCCCTTTTGTCTAATCCAATTAATTTCTATTCTTCGCTCCCCCATTATTGTGCTTTGTGTCCACATATCAAAGAGAACATTCCACCTTTGTTTTGGGGGGATTGGTTTATTTCACTGCACATGATATTCTCCAGTTCCATATATTTACTGGCAAATGCCTGAACTTTTTTTCTTTATGGTTGAGTCATATTCCATTGTGTATATATACCACATTTTCTTTATCCATTCATCTGTTAAAGTATGCTTAGGTTGGTTACATATCTTAGGTATTGAGTAAAAGATCTCCTTATGTACTAGAAAAAATGTCATATAGTATCTATTACTTAGTATCAAAGACTAAATGCTGGCAATTAACAAATTTAAAGATGATTCAGTTTCTGTACAATACTCACTTAAGCAAAGGAAAAGTCATTTACTCTACCCACTTAAACAGGAACTATACATTTAATTTCCTATAATGATAATAGATGGGCCTTGAAATAAAATTGGGTACCATTTTTTGGAAATTTTAGACTGATACCTTTCCTATCAACAAATTTTAATCATTTTTTCCCCACTAAAGTATACCTAAAAACAGAAGGGAATAAGAATTCTTTTGGGTGTCCTGAGGGCTTAACCTGAAGTAGACTGTCACTCACAGTAATGTTTTTAAATTCTGGTACTTTTCTTTAAAATGTAAATTATTTTCTAATTCATACCATAAAAAAGTTCAAATAGGGAACATCCATTATATTTAAGAAATGATTTTGGAGATCTCTATACAAGTACTGCACACTTTATTTCTTTATTAGAAAAGGATAATTTTTCCATTTGAAGGTATACAACATTTTGCTTTCAAGATGCATAATCATATACCTATCAAGGATGTTATAGAAAAGTTTCCTATTATGGTTAGGAATTTATTTCACTCAACCTTTAAAAAACATGCAGATTGGGGCTGGGGCTATGGCTCAGTAGTAGAGCACTTCCCTCACACAAATGAGGCACTGGGTTTGATCCTCAGCACCACATTAAAAAAATAAATGAATAAGTAAAGATATTATATTCATCTGCAGCTTAAAAAATTAAAAAATATGCATATTCTCAAACTATAACCCAATCATCTGAATGATTATTTCTGCAGACTGCAATCTGATTTTCTTAGTGTTAAACAAGTTCTCCTAGTGATTTGAAATTATGCCTGGGCTTTTAAACCACTGTACTCTATAACCTACAAACTTTCTTCCAAATCTTTCAGGCTATAATTTTAGAAATGTTTTCAACAGAAAAGTTTGAATTAAGCCAAAAAATAGAACTCATAAGTGTTCTGATTAATCCATGTTGTAACATAAGAGTCTCCTCAAAGTCATTTAATAATGTTAAATCTTTTAAAATTTGATAGC